GGTTTTGTGTTGCATCAAGGTCCTTACATCCAAATTACCTAAAGTGCTCCCCAATGTCATAATATGTTCTCAAGTTTATCCATGTCAAATTTCAAGCCTTGCGGAGGAAGTTTGGTCAGTCAATTGCTCAAGAGGCCTAAAAATCGACTGTGCTAGGGCAAAAGTCAACTGTTACCTACAAATAGTCAAACCTTAAGATTTTTTGTCAACATTCTAATTTTGAAGGATAATTCATCATTTGATCAAGGGTGGATCATGATTCATCAAGGATTGCTCAAAATTCATCAAGACTCAAAAGTTGCTAAATTAGGGTTTTGTAGGAAAAGTCAACTCAACTTTGACCAAGCATAACTTTCTCATACTTTACGAGAAATGACCCATCCAAATCTCATTTTGAAGAGGATACAATTTCATATAATCCATATTCATACCCCAAGATCAATAAATGCACTCACAAAAAGTTACAAATTTGGACATTATAGGTCATTTTTGAAAGTCAACAAAAACACCTTTTTTGCCAAAGCTCATAACTTGATCATGGAATATCAAAATGATATGAGACAAAAAGGGTTGGTTAGAGGACATCTCAAGGTTTCTAAAAAGTCAGAGAACACTTCCAAAATTTCAAAATTGAAGAAGTTATGCATTGTTGAAGTTGGGCATTTTTCCAAAATTGCCAAAAGTCAACTATCCCCAAAACTCCAATTTTTGACAAATAGGCCCACTCTTTTCCACTTGATTTGATCTTGTCACACTACACACGTGTCCTAGCTTCAGCCTTGTGTCCATTTATTAATTTTTCTATTTTATTTAATTTTTTATTGAATTAATTCATTTTAAATCAATTTAAATCAAATAAAATCCAAATATTGATTAATTAGGATCTTTTTGGTTGTTATAGGTCTTAATTATCATCATGGTCACCATAAAATTCGTATCAAGCCTAATCATGTGCAAAAAGATTGAATCAAATCAAATTTGGAACGTTTAATAATGGAGAATCATCAAATATGACATTTTTTCAAATCTTGATCATGGTCTTAAAACACAACATTATGAGGGAGATTCTTTCCATGCTTTCTTGTCTACTCATTCTCCTATATAAATAGAGAGCCACACAAGCTTGAAAGACACGAAAATCCTCTCTAAAAAGCTCTCAAAAAGCTCTTCAAAAAGTTCTCAAAAAGCTCTTCAAAAAACTCTCCAGAAATCAAAGAATTGGTGCAAGTCATATCCCGAGGTTCCGGCCTCTCGCAATTGACATCAAGCCTCAAAACATCCTCTTGAAGTCCTCATGAGTCTTACAAGGCCCAAGAGCAATCCATCACACGCCTAGCACGTCCACCGGTTTGATAAAATTTTAAATTTCGAATCTCTAATTTTAATCACATTTTATGGTATGCTAACGTTTGTTTGAGTTTATATAGAACAATTATGGATGGTTGAATCATAGGTTCCACGCAAGAATCAAAAAACACCATAGTTAGAGCATGAAGCTTTCGAAGATCCGAGCTCAGGAATGCTTTCTGCACCCTCCAAAAAAAGGCCCAATTTCTCTAATTTCTCATATTTTATTTATTTGGTTTAATTATTTTATTTTTACTTAATTAATTTACTAACCAATAACAAATTTTATTTTTATCAAAAAAATCAAAAAAATATCATTTTGTCCAATTAAAATTAAGAACTTTATTTTTCTTTAATAAATTCCGATTAATTAATTAGGTTTTTAATTCTAAGAAACTTTGATTTCTTTTTGTAAATAAATAAAACTAATTAGAATTTAATAGGTTTAATCACTAATTTAACCGTTCCATTTTCTTTCTTTAAATAACCAAAAATCCAAAAAGTAACTTTTTTTTCCATTTAATTAATTAATTTAATTTAATATAGTGATTAATTTAGATTTATTTCTTTCTTAAAATATAAAAAAAAACCACAAAACATTTTCTTTATCAAATTAAATTCTAACTTTTATTTTTGTTAATAAACATTAATTAATTGATTTAGAATTTTAATTAGAATAACTTTCACATTTTTGTAAATAATTAAAATTCAATTAGAATTAATCTAGGTTTTAATTACTAACATTAATTTTGATTTCTTTCTTAAAATACCAAAAGACCAAAAATAATTTATTTTTATTCATCAATTTAATTAATTTAATTTAGTAATTAATTTAGGCTTTGATTAGACAATAACTTTAATATATTTTTGTAAATAATAAAATTAATTTAGACATAATTAGGTTTTATTAACATTGATCAATTTTATTTTCTTTCTTTAAATAACCAAAAATCCAAAAATAACTTTTTTTTTCATTTAATTAATTAATTTAATTTAATGTAGTGATTAATTTAGATTTATTTCTTTCTTAAAATATTAAAAAAAAACCACAAAACATTTTCTTTATCAAATTAAATTCTAACTTTTATTTTTATTAATAAACATTAATTAATTGATTTAGAATTTTAATTAGAATAACTTTCACATTTTTGTAAACAATTAAAATTCAATTAGAATTAATCTAGGTTTTAATTACTAACATTAATTTTGATTTCTTTCTTAAAATACCAAAAGACCAAAAATAATTTATTTTTATTCATAAATTTAATTTAGTAATTAATTTAGGCTTTAATTAGACAATAACTTTAATATATTTTTGTAAATAATAAAATTAATTTAGACATAATTAGGTTTTATTAACATTGATCAATTTTATTTTCTTTCTTTAAATATCAAAAAACCCAAAAATATTTATTTTCATTAATTAATTAATTTAATGTAGTTTAATAATTAACTTAGATAATTTATTTCTTAAAATTCAAAAACAAACAAAAAAATCTTTTCTTTAACAAAAAGGGTCAAAACCCTAGAACTTTGCGCTCGATTTAATTTCCCGCACGCGTTTGTTTATTTTTATCATATTAATATACTTGCCTCCGGTTTGTAATAGATAATTAGGACTTTAAATATTTTTATCGCTTTATTTATTTTCCGCATTTTAATTTCAAGGGTTGCTTTTGGCGATGTAAATACCCGACGCCTTGTAATAGTTAGTTTAATTTCCGCAATTTAATTTCCGCAACTTATAAATTGTTAGATGTTTGATAATAGGGAATGCATGACAAGAATGAATGTTAACTTAAAATCAACATAGATAACCATTGACATGTACAAAGATAAAATAAACCAAAAACAACACACTCGCACATGCGCACTCTTAGGATACACCTCACTTGGTTGCCTTCGAACGTGGTCATTGAGTATAGGAAGTTTTAGAGGTCGCCCTCTTGTCCAAAAATCATAGTTGCCTCGAAACGGTTGCCTCGGAAAAATGATCTAAGACATTAGGGTTACCGCTAAGGTGTCCTAACATTGCATTAGTGACCACACGTCCCTTAATCGAATTGACCCTTAAAACTCCAACGACGGTTCTACCTACTCCTCAATAGTGGGATATCATTGTCTAAAGGATATTTGTACAGATTAATTCCTTTTTCGAGTAGGTAGATGGTTCTTAAGTAATTGCTCATTCTAAAACAAAATAAAACTTTTCGCACTTACACCTTTCAAACAAAAACTCTCTTCAAACCCACAAACACAAAGAAAAGCAAATTTTGAAAACACTTTGAGCAAGTACCTAAGAGCTCGTGGATAACCACGGATAGAAAGGGTGCTAATACCTTCCCTTTCTATAATCTACCCCCCAAACCCGAGAAACATCTCGAAAAAGGAATTTTTCTGTGCTTTTTTCCTTTCCTTGTTGGATAAAATAAAAGACGGTGGCGACTCTTACTTACCGCGACATTTTGTGAAAACAAACGCAAAACGCAAACAAGCATTCCAAAAAACAGTCAGTTCTCTTCCCACCGTATCACAGAACTGGCGACTCTACTGGGGAAATCTAATAAGTGGGGTGTACCTTAGGATTAGATCATTGTGTGCTTTGTATGCTTTATATTTGTGGGCTTGTATCGGAGTTCTATAGATCCTAACTCGGATCTGGGGGATACCCTTTGGGTAAGTAGCAAT